GCATACATCTTATAGATAGCTTTTTTTATGAACGAGAAAGTAGAATTTTTCATAAATTCTTGGGAATGTTTATTTCTACAAAATGTCGGCAGCATTTTACTGACATAAAATTAAGTTGCTTACATGATAATATCAAAAAACGATATAATTAATAATGACGTACTTCCTTTTTATAAGGAAATTAAATCTCTTTTGTGAGATGTGTGTCTTTCGGTATATATATTTCTATATTAATCAATCTTATTTGAAAAACCGACAATTTCTGCTTTAAGGTTTAAGAAACCGTTCTCTAACACTCAAGCAGAGAAAGCACTCAAAATTTATTAAAATCAGAAGGGACTGACGCGAGCATTTTCCTTATACAAAATAAAATTTACCCTCCTATACATAAATATTTGTGCAATTTTCTATAGGTATATAAAGAATGATTGGCTTTATGGGCTTTGTGGGCTTATGGTTGTTACAATAAAGCTTACGCATTAATTAAAGGCGATTTCGACCAAGCTCAATCGGCAATAACTTGTCAAGTAGTATCTGTACGACTTTATTAACATAGAATTATTAATTTGTTGTCGTTTGACACGTAGAAAAAAAGATTAAATTAGGGATAACGAGCACAGTTCAAAATTTTGTTGGATGCAATTTTGTCGGTTGAAATAATCACCGATTATTAATCGGTGGTTAGTCACCCTAAGCTCGCTCCAGACAATCTGCAATTCGCGTCAAAATTCGAATACTGTTAAGTATGCCAGAATAAAATTTAAACCAGTACCTTGAATTAAATAACATTTTGTTATTTTTAACTCCATGTGTGTCAAAATTTATTATTTTAATACAAAACAGTATTATTTTAATTTAATTGGTTTAGTTAAATTAACATATTGAGTAGAAGCAGTTGCGACCATAACAATGGTTAAAAATGGTCAAATTGAGTATAATTTACGCTACGAATTTAACAGTGAATTCTAATTGTTTTACTGTGTCGAATAAAACAGTCAAGGAATTAAAATGGATTCAATATGTCAAGACACGTGATGGCGTATTGCATTACATTCTGAAATCTAACGCAAATTACAAATCGTCTAAAGTGGGCTTTCCGTAGGTATCGCGTGATCGTTAAAAAAAACCCGTTCCGCACATTGGCGGAACGAGTCGTAGTCAGATTACGTGCTCATTCCTCATCAAAGCGACGAGGATTCGCGGCGAGCAATCAACGAAGCGGATCGTTCGAAATTCGGTTCAACCATCTCGAACCGTAGCGAAGCGTCCGCGTCGTCAAGTAAAATGAAGGAAATGCAATGACGAATCCACGAATAGCGGGATGCGTTTACATCGTCGATGATCGCAAAATCGTCGCAAACGAAGTAACAGCCGATTAATCGTCCAAATACCATAATAAGTGGATAATCACTCACCAGTCGATGCCCGCGGTCGGTCAACTCCACCGTCGCGCCGCCGGCCCGCCGCCTCTCTCTTCGCCGATCGATCTAGCCCGCTTCGGGCACTCGATCACTTTACTCCATCGATCGATCCGTTTCCCTTCAGACGCTCACTCGCGCGGATATCAGTCGGTCGGAGATAGCGCGGTTTAACCGCGAGTCTTCGCGCCAATTAACACAAACGTGATAATCGCCGCCTATCACGTAATCGCGTACGCACTTCCCAGCATGCACTCGAGACGAGTAAACATCGCGAAATGCACCGTTTGCCTTATCGATCCGACGCCAACGTCTCCCGCGCGAACGTTACGTCAAGCGCGCGACGTGGAAAATTCGAAATTATTACGCGACGACGCGACGTTTTCTGAACTTCGGAGCGGTGGTGGCGCGATAACCTCGATTCCGCGGCACCGAGGGAAAGTTGGTTAATTTTACCGTCGCGCCGTCGCGTCTCCCGACTAATTCAACGTCCCGGACTCGGTTTGACGCAAGTGCTTTCGATCTCTCTCGTGTGCGCGTTTATGCATGCGAGGCTCGGCTCTCGACGGAAAACAATCGCGGAGCGATCCTGCCGCGGCACCGCGCCACGCCGACGACACTCGGAGTATGACGCTCACACGCATTACGCGCAATTATGCCAAAAAGAGTTGCGACCAAATCCATTGCCTCGACATTAAAATTAAAAGAATAACTCACCGGCCGATGCGCAACAGCGGAGTTGTAAGCTGTAACCCTGCGTTGAACTATAACAAAAATATTTTTACATTAAAGCAGGTCTTAGATAATCGATAATTATCGCGCCCGTTAAACTTTTAAAACGTTGTTTTAACGAATATCTGATTTCGAAATGCTAATGTAAGAAAATGTAAAAAAACAATCGTGGCCGTCGCAAGCGGCCGTATATTTCCATTAACTCATTCGTTTAATTGATCCGCGAAAAATCGTGCAAGTAATATGACGTGAGAATAAGGGTCGTTCTACAATACGTCGTAAACGCACCGTCGCGCGTCGCGGCGTCGCCGGCTCCAGTCGTGAAGGTTGACAATTGCTAGTTAAAAAGTGCTATTTTCGGTTGGCGACTGCCAGTTGCTGTCGTCGGAAAGTTAAAAGTTCGCCAACTCTCTTTTGACAACCACAGCTGACGAGCGCAAACCAGAAATAACACTTCTCAATTAGCAGTTGCTATATATCGTTCACGACTGGCGACGGAGGACGGAGCGTTTGCGACGTATGCATTGTAGAATGGCTTTAAAAGAGAGAAGAGACATTCGCGCGACGTAATATTTCTCGTGCATATTCCGGAGATCGAACTCCGAAATTGCGATATTGCGCCGGAGTTAAACCTCGAACGAGTAATGCGAGTATCACGTAACGAATGAATCGAGTCGCGCTTGAAAAAGTGTGACGGAATCCGCCACAGCACAGTAAAATAATAAATAATTAAGAATTACTCACTCCACGGTCGCCCCGCTGTCGCCCGATGCCTCCCAGGCCTCCTCCTCCTCTCCTCGGCACCCCGCCGTTGTCGCATCTCCGGCGGCGCACTCACTCACGACTCCGACGCGAAAATATCGTCACTTATGGTCGCGCGACACTTTGCACGGCACTCCTGATATTAATCTCGCGACGCAGCGCGTACTTTGTTACACGGCAACGTAAGAATTACGGCGGAGAAGCTACGAACGATCCGCTTGACGCCCGTGACGCTTGACCCGTCCCGCAGGTAGACGCTAAATGGCGGAGAGAATTTCATAAATCGCGCAGCCAACTTCACTCGCCACTCTCGCCAGGAGCAACAGCAACCGTCGGCGTCGTGAGAATGCTACACTTGCTGCTTGTAAAATGATTTCGGTTGACTACAATTAAATCATCGATTCATGAATATTCACATTCGTGCCTATCTCCCACGATTACCATATATATCGCCAAATATCAAAAATAGTATACAAAGTTAAATGTACGATGTTAATAGAGACTGTGATCTGCGATCGCTAATTACACACACGTCGCGGGCGTCGCATACGCATACGCATAGCATAAGACCGTCTGGACCAATGAGCATCCAGCATGAAATACTTACTCGATTTACGGCCATCGCACACAAAATTGTATAGGTTGCATAAGCATAGCGACCGCTGGACCAATGAGCATCTTATGTAAATCAATATGACGAATTTAGGCTGTATGCTAAAGCCCCGGACACACACTTTTTCGTAACAGTAACAGTAAAGTTTCGACCAATCGCG